AGTCTTTTCTGTGAGTCTAAATCTTTGGATATAGGTTTGTTTTCTGTTCCTTCTTTGTTTCTTTTCCCATTTTCACCACAATAATCTTTCCAGCTGTAACATCAACTGTAACAGATGGCCAGTGCTACACTTTGAGCCAAAAGCTTACATGCTTTTCCAAGTGAGGTTGTAGTGTGGGTGTACAGGTATGAGGAGCTGCACATTGCTCCCTTGCAATCAGCAAAGCTAGCCCACACTTTTCCTTCTCTTTCTTTTGAACGTACTAAAAGTTCTCCTTGAAGTTGCGCTCTAGTTATTGATGTAACCAAGGAGGAAAAAAAAGCAAAATAAAACCCAAGACTAATTACCCTTCCAAGTAGAGTGTGGAGATGGTTGGCTACAATTAGGTTAGGCCAGGATTATGCTCTTAGTTTATGTCCATCTTGCTAAGAAAAACCTCTATATTTTTACACATACAAGTTTTTGCTGGGAGCATCTAAACATGTCCGAAAAATTTTGTTTGCCACCTGACATTTTGCTTTTGTTGCCTGAGAGATTTATTAGATATTGTATGGAAAGCATGTACCAGACTTGGAACAAATTCTAAGTCTCCCTACTTCTAGTCTAGTGCTCCAGCTGCAAGACCTCCTGCCTTGGTCCCCAGAGTTTTACTGCATCCTCTTTTTCCCCAGAATCTCTCAAAATCACATTTGCTTGAGAGAAGCATTGTCAAAGAAAGGGCATGTGGATCACTGTATCATATTATTACATGCTGCAAATTAACTACTCACGTGTTGGAAAAGGAAAAGCTGGATTTTATTGCTCTTGCCTGAAAACAGAACAAGCTCACTTAATGTCCTCATACAGACTGAGACTCCCTTAACTGAGACCCCCTCATGTGATACCACCTGCATTATTCTGAGCTTAATTGCAACACTTTATTTGTTATTTGCACATATTTGCTCCTGAGTATGCTGAATTTCCCATGTGTGTTTTCTTTTCTCAGACTTCCGCAGAGCTCCTGAAGCCAACTGAACAGAGACTGCCCTACTGAAAGCTTTCTGAAGTCGTTCCTGAAATACAATGCATAATCTCTTGAGATTAACTCAATGGCAAAAATTAAAATGTAGGTTTAATTTGGCACCTTCCACTTAACTGATTCCTAGCGTATGAAAAAATGCTTCAGTTAAGTACTTAAGATGACATTTAATTGGTCCTGAGGTTCATGCTGCTCTCTTTAAAATCTCTGTACCCTTTAAAAACTTTAATCGCTGTCTTTCAGGCAGGGTTATACTTCTAAGGTACATAAAAGCTTTAAAAGGGGGCTGACTGAGAAACTTGTTCCAAACTACACAGCTGTTCTCGGTGCCTCTTAGTACCTCTGATAAGAAAAGGGGTTGTTGGTGGGAAAGAGTTTTGGAAAACTGTCGGGGCCAGTTGTTGCTGTTGTTTTTTTTTAACTCTAATTAAATGAGAAGGGAAGCACCAGTAAATAAGCAGCTGAAGGAAATGAGGAATTATCCTTGCTTCTGAGATCTATTTTAAACACGTGAAAGGGGTAGTGGGCTCTTTTGCTGCTTTCTGCTTCTATTGCACGGTTACAGCTCGTGAGGCCTAATCTGAAGTACCAAAGAGGTGGAAAGTTATCCAAAATTGCTCTCTTGTTTAAAAATAATACATACATTACTGTTAGTCATTCTGTGGCATTAGGACTTACGGTTACATTTCTGTGAAGTGTTTTTGTATGTTCACGTTCTCCCTCTTGCTTTTTTTTTGTGGCAGTGCTGCTCCTTTCTAACAGTTTTTTAGTGCTGAGAACTAATGGTAAGCTATATTTTATCCCCAAAATGTTTAATAAGGCAAAATGTGATTATTTGAATTAATTAAAGTATGCAAAAACTATGTCTGTAATGATAGTCACCTTTAAACGCGTGCTTATGTCTATTGGTTTATAAATATTTGAGGCAAATATGCAAATTTGATACACTAGCAATGCAAGGCATTATAGATCATTTGCAAGGGTGTTGTAGTGTGAGTTCATAGGTAAGCAATGAGTGGTGTTTGTTAAGGGAATGTGCTTCAGCTGGGTGTTTGGATGGCAGTAGTTTTTCTTCTAAAGCTTAGCTATTAACTCCATTGTAAAATACTGCAGAGTTGTATCTCAGCCTTTTTAAGTGATTGCTTGACTCCAGTGACTGTTCAGTATGGCAACTATAGTCAAAATATGTCTATTTGAAACAGATGTAATCATTAGCAGGCCTTCTAAACTATGGCTTCCAGCTTCTTCTAAGTCAAACTGTCTCCTAAGCAGGTTAGGAGATAGATGATTATCACTCTTTCCTCATGCATCAAACGTAGCCATGTTGCTGCAGTGGGAAGGAGGTGGAGCCAAAGAAACAGGGCTCACTGCTTAGTTAGCAGCTAGGTTTGCTGATACTCATGCTCCTCGTGATGTCTCATTGATCCTGTTAAAAAATAAGTATTAATACTTATCAACAGGCACTCTAAGGAATGTTACTCCCCAGTATTAGCTTTAGCTTTTTGGTTTTGTTTTTTAATTGCATTGTGTTGCAATGCTACGGAATGCTGGAAGGAAGGTCCTCTGGTCTGCTATGATCCCAGAGAAGCAGCATGTCAGCACCTAGGGTGGATTTAACCACAATGCAGAGAGCAAGAGTGGGCTACAGTGATCTGCTATGAGAGAGAGAGAGAGAGAAATAGCAGAGCCTGAGCAAGGCCTTGTCAGAAACAGAAAAGAAGCAAGATTGTTTTCCAGACTGCTCTCATCCCGACCTTAAGATAGGGATTTCTGACTGACCCTGAGCCATGAAGCATTAAAAACGCAACAAATGATCCACTGGGCTCTCACTTCTTGACCTCCCTGTGAGTCGAGGAGCTTTTCTAGCTCTTACTGAGAGAATGATATAATTTCTGTAGTTATCTTTGAAGGTCTCAGACTGAGTTTCTCACCTGCCTAAAGAGAACTTGTGGCAACAACTACCATTTCACTCCAGTTATTTTCTCATTTTAGGATAGCAGTTCCTTCACTTCTGCCACTTGACCAGAAGAATGTGAACCTGCCTGCCTGGTTTCAGTACTTTTCTTCATTTGTCAAGGTAATTTGTCAGTTTATCCACACACTTTAGGAGTAGGGGAGTTGCCACTACTGCATATCATGGAAAAAGAGGAGTGCTTTCTTGGGGGCTCAGTAGTTCACAAGCTCAAGATCTTCCAGTCTCTTAGCTGTGACCCCATTATTGCAATCACATTTCTCTGTCTTTATCCACTGGGAAGACAAGGGAACAGAGGAAGTAGAGGTGATTTACATTCTTCCTGATAGAGGAGTTTGATGATATTCTGACAGTATCTGCGTGAATCATGGCATGTGTGATACAAACAGGTGTTAACACATGCAAATGGATGCTTCAGGTGTGTTGCTGGTGTTATAGGTCTGAGTCTGGTGTGCACTCCAAGCAAATGGTGTCTTGAAGCCAAACTCACCACTGCAGCAGAGTTTCAGTGGCTATTCTCTTTGGGTTGCATCCGTAAGGATGAAGCTAGAATTGACCACTGCTGCTTTGCTGGGTTATGTGCTGACCAGTGTATGTTTACTCCGTGATGCTGTAGTATAGACTACTGCAAACACATCCTGAATTCTTTTAAATGAAGGCAGGCTACATTTTGCTCTTTAGAAACCTCCAGAATTCAGCTGCAGCCATATAGCTGCTATCAAATACAAGCTGGCTGCAGTTCAGGATGTGGTCCAGTATTTTTTAACAGCATGAAATTCAATTGTAGGCCCTCTGGAAGGATAGTGTACACTAAATGTTGAACTGAAGATAAACCAAAACTGACGTTCTCTATGTGGAAAAACAGGTGGGGAAGATCTTGGCTGTGTTTGAGAAGGTAGATGCATCTCTCATGTGTGATGCAAATGCCCTCTAATGACATTAATTCAGAATAAGGTATGTCTTTACTGTTGACTTATGTTAACAAATGCATTATAATGTTGTGGCCTCTAGTATCTGAGCAGGCATTTAGTGGAATATTAATCTAATCGATATAATAAGAAAATGACTTTTTTTAATGTTACGAATTAAAACATAAATTCTATTCACTCTGTCTGGACCTGTCCCTCTGTGTGTACTTTCATGTGGCCGCTGGTGGCTTTTTGTTTGCGTCACAGCAACCGAAGAGTAAATGCAAGGCAAGATCCAAGGTAGGAAAGCAAATTGTTTTTGCAAACATGGCAGAGAAAGTGTCTGGAATCAAATGCCAATATTAATGCACGACATCTGCTCTCTGCTCCAGTTCTGAGTAAAGTAATCCAGTCCTAATTACACACTGCTGTGCCCTCTACCAGCTAAGGAGAATGGTGCAGCCATTCTTAGTATCGGTATATAAATTTCTTTCTGTATCTGATAGATACATTTGATGCAGGGCAGGCTTTTCATTTTTTGGCTGTCAGTTGCTTTGGGTAGCACAAAGAGAGGGGAGGGGAAAGGTTGCAGCGAAAAAAGATCAAAATCTTCCAAAAAGGACTCTGCTCCTAGAATAATTTTCTTTTCCTGGAGAACTTTCCCTGCAGACCTCAATCAATATTATTCTCATCTGAGTGCACATATTATTCATTAAGAAACATTGGCAAGATGTGCACTATAGTGTATGCCTTCATTAGAAGCTCTACCTGCCTACTTTTATCAGAAGATCTCCAGTAACTTTCACCTACATTAAATTTGTATCTGTCTTTGGATTGGGAAAGAAGAATAATGTAATTTCCTAGGTTGGATTTCTTTCTTTCTTTTTTTTTTTTTTAATTTTAGAAGAGAATAGTCAAATAGTACTCTCATTGTTTTGTGGCTGCTTTTTTTCCTCTCACATTAACAGGTCAAGATTACCACCATTAGATTCAGACTGAGCTGGATGCTGGTGGAAGCACGTGCAAAACAGTCCAATGCAGCAGTCCCTCCCTGGCTGTGTGAGCTGGGAATAGCTGGAATTCCTCTGTTGAGTGTTCAGCACTTCTGCTGTATACTTTGTGTGCACCTACCACTACTGTGCAAGCAGCTTCTTTCCTACAGAATCAGTGTTTTAGATGACATGTTGTTGGAATGACACTATGAAGACCTGGCAAATGTCACCTATGCCAAGTAGAGACAGAGGGAACCACAAAACACAGGTGGCACTGCAGCGTCTTAGAATATTGTCATCACAAAGCAACAAGAGCCTGACACTGCATTGTATCTGTTCAATTAATGTATTTCTACCTCTGACTTTCTGTGTCAGTCCTGCTGGTCTCTTCAGTAGCAAGGCAGTGAGGGAAGAATGTATCTTTTTTAAAGAAAGTCACTGGGATTTTTGGACGTGTTATGGTCTAGTTCTGTGACTGGGACCACATGTAGTGCTGCAGGGTGAACTAAAACCAACAGCAACAGGCTAGGAAGAGTCAGCTCCTTAGCTCTGCCTCTGTTCACCCATCTCACATTCGATTAGTCTCTGCTTGACATCAGGCTGGGAGCAATGAGCTCTGATCAGAACAGTGGATGTGGCAACATGCCCGTGAGCTCCATGTGTCACTCCAGAATTAGATGCTGTCCCACTGGATTCCTCCATAAAACAACAGAGGCAGATACGTGGAGGCCAGATTTGTCTTTCTTGTCTATCTACCACACCCTCTGAGGTTAGGAAAAAAGGCAGAGCCACTTGCCAGAAAACATTACAACATGAACTTTAAGACAGAGAAGAGCATTCAGGGATGTTGGTTATCCATCCAGATGAAAGTGAGAAACATTACACAAACACTGTTGCCCCAACGTACTCATATCTCGGTGGTGTTTTGTTTCTGAATGATCCTTTCTCTCGTGCATTAGACTCTGGAAAGTGTTCAGGCTGCTATGCGAAGAGGTGGCAGAGCCAAAATCCATGTGTTGACTTGTTCAGGGAGGTTGGGCTAAAGGTGGAATCCCAAACTTCTGCCTAACTTCAGTTTGAACAGAAACTTTACATCGGCATTGAGAACTGGTTCACCATGCAGGTGGAAGAACATGAAAAGGAAAGCTTCATCCATGGTAAGACAAAGGAGGCTTATTTTGGAAAAGATCCATTTCCTATAAGCACGCTTTCCCTGAGGCCTGGGGGAAGCTAGCCTGTCCTAGCTCCTAGTTTGGGCTTCTTCTGAAGCCATCCACTTGGGTCATAGACCTGTCCTTGTCTCCAGCTGTACGGATGCTGGGGAGATGCTGATGGGTCTGCAAAGTGTCACACCCAACCTGATCCTCCAGTGGTTTATACCCACTCAAACACTGTGGATTCTCCTGTAGAAAGAAATGTTATGGAGTTCATTGCTACCAATCTGTTGTGGGGAGGCAGGATTTACATGTGAAACCAGGAAGCAGACCAAAAATGTAGGTCTTACTGCTTCTGTTTTTCAGAAATACTTTTTTTTTTTTTTTTTTTTTTTTTTTTAAGTCTGTGCTATGGGGAACAGCAGCAAAACTTCTAAATAACTAATTTATCAGCTGTAAGTTTCTTTTGAAGATTGCTACAGGTTGTAAAGCCTAATGACGTAAAGTGTCAGCCTTATATCACCATGGTAGAGAGCTCATTCGCTGGATGTTGCGTTTCTGAAGCTTTGCTGTTTTTACTCTATCAAAGGAATTGCTGTGTTTTGAACACGGCATTATTTTATTTTTTTTTAGTACCTCAAATTTGCAAAAACATTTAACATTATTTTCATGCAAAACATTATCAGAATTGAATCTGGTTTGTTTTTATGATGTACATGCACAGAAGTTCAGTTAGTCAAGCAGGACTTGACATAACTGAGGTCTGCAGATCTCAGGTATATGTTTAAGTGGTCTTTTGAACTGCAGCCCATGTTCTCTGTGAACATAAGTTTTCAGAGCTCTTGTGATTTTCCTCCTTCCCAGGAACTGTTGAATTGCAGTGTAAGGTCAGAACTGTGGTCAGTCTCTTCTGACACTCGCAGGCTAGGTGTAAGTGATTCTGAAATGGGTACTGACTGAGAGGGCTAATTCAGTATGGAGCTGTGTAAGTTGTTTTGCTTATTTGGGTAGTTTCAAGCAATATAATCCATGTGTCTAAACCAGCAGACAAATCTCATCTGCTCAGAAATCTGACTTTGGTAATAGCTGCTAAATTCACCGTGTGCGGCTGTAGGCTTTGGTACGGCCTGATCCTGCCCTCCGTGTGGGGTTCTGACTGCCACGTGGCTTAATCACCCTCTTTTCTTTTTTGTTTTTGGTTTTTCTTCCTCCTGTCAGCTGAAAGATAAAATAAAAAAAAACATATTAACCTCCCCGATGAAGCTTTATAATTCCCAACACTGAAACATTAACCAACTCCTTAATTAAGAGAGACTGAAAGTAGAAGAATGCTTTTATGTCATTAGCTGGTTTTTGCTCCAGTCATCTGCCTCATTCAAGCATGGGATAATATGAAACCTCACGGGTCTGCTGAAGGCTTGACTTAAGTATATTGCAGGCTTCCTTTGCAATTTAATAAGGGCTGCACGTTGTTCTTAAGAAACTTGATTTTCTTTTGCTTGTGCTCAAGACTAGCAAAATGAAAGGAAGACCAGCTAGACAGTGAGAGCCAGAGTTCCAAGCCCTATTCTTGCTTCAGCACGTGGATGTTTTTCCTTCCTGTGGCCTCTTTCCTCCCACACCATGAGTACTGGGAATTTGTACTAGAGCAAAAGCTCTCCTGGGCGGAGAACAGCTGCTCTTTTATCTGCATTTCTGCAGTACTGAGCACAGTGACTTCCCAGTGCTGCCTGGACAGAGTGTACAGTAATGGGGTGGGCAATGTTAGTGATACCTGGTACCTCAGTGGCTGCAGGCATGGTCCTCCCCTGCTGGAGCTCTGCCTGGACACTGTGCTGCAAAGGCTGGAGATGTGGCTGCTGAGGCTGGATCCCATTTCCGCCACTGACCTGGGTCAATGTTCCCAGTTGCTCCCTGTGACACCCGTTGTCTGTAAGCACTGTAACCCGCTGCTCATCTGTGTGCTGTCATGGGGCTAATAAATGGAAGCGTGGTAAAGTTCTTTGTATGGCATTTCCATCCCACTGGGTG